AATGAACCGGACTTCCTAGGCAAACGGGCTAGAGTTCGGGACAACAGGGCTGATGTGAATGCACCCTAAGGTGCATACACTGATCATTCTTTTCTTCTTCTTCTTCTTTTTTATGGCGGTTGGCAAGCAATGTTTAGATGTGCATTACCGCCATCTACTGGAATAGAATGTGGATGCTAAATAAATATTACACAACTTTTTAACTTTTTTTTTTTTTAATAATTAAATTAAATTACAAAAAAAAACTATATTATCTTGAATATTTTCGTCTTCTTAAGGTAGCTTAACAAAAAAACAGTATATTCAGAAGTGGAAAGTTTATCCAAAAGGTCTTGTATATTCATTTGTAATTTGTTGTCCTGTAGTCTATGTGCCAGTTCCCTTCTCTCAACTGAATATTTGGGACAGAATAATAAAACATGTTTCACTGTCTCTTCTTGAAAACAAAAGTCACATTGTCATGTAGGATGATTTCCCATTTTAAATGTACTGTTTAATCTTGTATGGCCAAAACATAATCTGGATATGAACGTTCCTTCCTTTCTATTTCGGCCTATTCTCCTCATTATACCAACTTTCCTTTGAATGTTATAAAGCCACCTGACAGTTCTTTCTTCTTTCCACTGTTTCTGCCATCTTTCCTTGACCTTTTGTTTAATGACTGATTTGATTTTTCCTTTACTGAATGATACCAATATATCAATGTAACTATTTTTGTTGCTTGTTTTGCATATTTATCTGCCAACTCATTTCCTTTTATTCCTATATGTGACGGTATCCATATAAACGTAAATAAATCCATCGCTTGAATTCTATAAATTAATAATTGAATTTCTAATAAAAGATCAGGTCTGCTGTCTGAATGATTATTTGTCATTGAATAAAATGAAGAACTTGAATCAGAACATATTACACTTCTTAATGGAGGAACTTCCTCAATCGAGCCCAGAGCTAAAATGATTCCCAGCATCTCTCCTGTGTAGATTGAGACGCCATCAGTAATTCTTTTACCTGTTTTGAAACTGAACTCTGGAACAATTAATGAAACCCCATTACTGTTATTTGAGTTTTTGATGCATCCATATAAATTTGGACATATCCATACTACTTACTATCTAAATATGCTTGTATTGAATGACGATCTGAAATGTTTTCTTTTTTATGATTTTCCAACAAAGTGAAATCAACAGCACTATTATTTTTTTCCTCCCAGGCTCTGATCGAGGTGGCAGCTTCAATTTCTCCTCCTCTTTTTTTTCCTTCTTCTTGCTCTGCTCTCTGCCTGTCTGAAGCGCCTGGGTCTCATCTCCCGAACATAAATTAAGAAGATTATGGATTTGGTATCATGGGCGTTCAACTCTATTGATAAGATTTTTTCATCAAAGCGACACGGTCCTGGGGAACCGGCATGTCCAGCTGAGACTCACGCTGTGGGTATGTCATGGATTCGTGGGGAGTGTGGCCGATGATGTGGCTCTCTGTTCTGTCTCAAGAAGATGTTGAAGACATTTACATATTTGGACTTATGATAGCAGGGACTCTGCTTTTTGGCATCGGCGGGGCTCCGTTTTATCGACTTTTGAAGAAGACGGTGGGAGCAGTTTTGGCCATGGAAAAGCTTCCGAGTCAGTGTGAAGGTCTGGTACTCGCTGTGGGAACTTTAAATCGTCTGGTCTACGAGCTTAACCGTAAGGTGGAGGCGATTGAGAATCGCAGACCACCTGCGGCTTCTGGGACTCGTCAGTGTGGTGGGTTCGACCTTGAAGGAGACTCATAGCACAGATCAGTGAAACTAAATTCCACAATTAGGCTTTTTCGGAACCAGAACGCCCAGATGGACTCAAGGCTGAAGAAAAAAATCTGTCTGCCTGAAGAAAAACAAAAATCAAGCTTATCTAATCTGACTCCCAATGGCCGCGGAGACGGGCTGACTATCAAATTTCTCCTGGGACATGAGTACCCAAGGACAAAAGCTTCATCTATCGACACCCCCCCACCACCACCACCCCCACGAGAACTCTCTGTGCAGGTTTATCAGAACTGCTGGATGAAAACAACATCTTCAGAAACTGTGGCTGATCTGAAAAAAAAAAAGCTCATGGACAAATCTCAACACCTTGATGTCAAATGCAAATGTAATCATGTTTTAATTGTGCTTGCTGGTAGAGTTTTTTTGATGTCTCAAATCGTGTCCTGATAGACAAGATGTGAAAGATCTTTTTTTGTAATACCACTATCTACCCTCATGTTTCTCCCCCTTTTCCTATCTAAGATTATTATCTGATAAGGATAAAATGGCCGCGCTCTCCTGTAGTTGCAGCTTCGTGCACTCTGCCCATCTTTTGGACGACTGTACGTACATATTCGCGTTGTACCTCGGTGCAATTCCAATAAAGTTTATTCTGATTCTGACTATTAGTTAAAAGAGATGGATGAACTGGAGATTGAGGAACTGTTTGACTGATATTTATGTGAGATATATCTAAATCTTTTATGTTTTCTACAATTCAGCCAAAGGAATTCAATTTATTTTTCTCTTTTTTCCAGCTAGGTTTTAAAACCATGGATGATTTTCATTATGACCTGTTAAATGACATCAGTAAGTTGAAAGTATTTGTAATCTTCCAACAATTTTCAGTCATGTCATCTGAACAGTTTCTTTTTTTTTTTTTCTGAAACGTTTCACCTTCCATCTGGAAAGCTTCATCAGTCAAAGAAACACACAACACAAAACTGATTCTTCCTCCAAACAGCTTACTCCAAAGTGGAACAAACCAGTTATGTTGGTGCTAAGATGGTGTCTTTGGCATGCCCCCTCCTGTGTTGCAGGCCCTCTTCCTCGTCGACAGTCATGTCAAACTGGTTCAAACCAATTTGATATGACAGGTAATACAGGTAATACACCTTATTGTCCTCAAGCTTCCTGAGAAACATCCTTTAGATGAGAAGTGTTGAACACAAGTTAAAAAAGTCTAGTGGCAATGTTTTTTTATTTTTCTATAAACACAAATAGTGCTGACCTGACGCTCTGCATTAAAGTTAAAATGTCTTTAAAACCCACAGCTGAATTTACACAAACTTGGTGAGAAACATGCTTTAAATGTGTGGAATTAAAGGAAATCTAGGTGAAATGTTGCTTTTTTGTGCACTAGTGTACAATTTTTTAAACGCGCACACACGCCAACACACATCATTGTGTCCCCCCCACATTACGGATGCTTCTGATGCCCTTGAACAGCGCAGAGGAGGGATATAAGGCCAGACAGGAAAACGCATGAAACCAATTTTTATTTCATCAGGAAGAACGTCGCCATTAAACTCCAAAAGTACCGAGAGACTCTCTATCCTTTTCCCAGATACTGTTTTTAACAACCTTTTCAAATTGCATATTTCAGCATCATGAATATTTCTTTTCCTTAAGTTTTTCCAGATCTTCCTCAAGTGGAATACCATGTGATACCTTGTTTTCTCAATAATTTTCCTTTCACTAACAATGTTTTTGCAAATGTTGTTAATCTGCATACCTTTATTTTTTTTGTTCTTCAGATTTACATTTGATCAATAGATTCCCATCACTCAGAATTTTCGCAAACTCCACCTCACCTATCCTGATGCATGCTCAACAATCCAGGTAGAAAAATCTAAAAAAGTTCAATCTGGTCCTCTGGACATTCAAAAAAAACAAAACAAAGCAAAAAAAAAAGTGTGCTAATGATCCATTGTTAGGCGGATGGTCCTTCTTGACCATGTGAGCAGCTGGTTTTGGTTGTCAGCAGCAAACTGGTTGATCCACTCTGAGAAGGTGCTATTTAAGAGACTGAGCTGAATATAGCACCTCAGACTGAGGAAGTCTTTCGGATGAAAGACGAAACGTATCTACATTTTTTTGTTTTGTTTTTTGGAATGTCCAGAGGACCAGACTGAACTTTTTTTGGATATATTTGTCATAGCCATAAATGGAAGAAGTTTGGAACCACTGGCCGTCTAAACTGGGTAATCGGGGGAGAAGGGCTTTAGTCAGGGAGGTGATCAAAAACCAGAGGGTCTCTCTGTCAGTTCTATCAGGGATGATTTCCCTGGTGCAACACCTGTACCGAGTACCAGAAAGTACTGGTCCAGTTGGAGCGCTGGACCAAATGTGATGAGATAATGGTTCAGTTTGCTTCAGACCGCCACCATAACTCATTCTAAAACTTTTACATAAACCTTGACAAGAAATACTTGGCAACGAAATCAAGCCTTTCAGGTTTGTCGAGCTTTCAACATGGATCAGCAGCACCCCCTACTGCCTGTTCCATGGTACTGCACCTACATCTGCAGGGGTGATTGACATTCAGCTGCTCATCTGTGTACTGGACTTGTGCAATATTCTAAATTAACCACACAAAAAAAAACAGGTACATATTCCAAAAAACTGAATTTTGTGTATTTATTAGCTGTAAGCTAGAAGGATCAAACTTAAAAGAAATAAATGCTTATCACTATGAGACAATCACTGAGTTAGTTTGGATGAAGGACGAAACATCAACAAAAAAAGAAACTGTCCAGATGACCTGACAACATTATTGGATTCTTTAGCTGAATTATTGAGCATTAATCTTGATGACTATGAGACAATATTCAGTCAGGTCATCTGGACAGTTTCTTTTTTTGCTGAGACGTTTCGTCCTTCATCCAAGGACGACTTCTGTACGAGGAGCCACAAACAACCTGGAGTCCCACAAGCACCCACTCCCATAGTGGAAAAAAAACAGTTTGCTGGTGATAAGATGGTTTCTGGGGCCTGCCCTCTACCCTGTCAATCTGTCACTTTGAGGAATTAACTTTTGGAAGTATTTCACTTTCTGAACTGAAATACTGAAAAGAATTAATTTCTTGATGAAGCTCTGATTTACTGAAATGTGCCTTAATTCATGCAGTAGGAGCCAGAAGGAGCAGACACTTGCTTAGCTGTCACATGCTGACCTCTGCACACTGACAGAAAGATTTAACTGTAGTGTTTCATTTAAAAAGGTGATCATCTTTAGTGATTTTAAAAAATACTCCATGTTCTTTCTTTATGGCTAATATTTATTATTTTCCCAGTCCACCACTTAAATGACAATTCCTTCAGTGTTTCTAATGTTGCAGTTTTAAAAAGTGGCACAGAAATCCTTTGAAGTGCCTTTTTTTTCTTTGAAGTCCTTTTAAAAAGAACAGTGAGCAGAGGTGATGTCCAACAGAGGTTAAAACTCCCTCCTCCTGAGACCCAAGTATGGTTCGGCTGACCCCACCTCCATGTGACCGTGCCGTTATAACGCCGGCCACCCATTCAGTTTGTCATGCACGAGTGCGATAGCTCCACCCGTGAAGTCTCTGAGAACCTGCACGGTCTCCCTCTGGAGCTGCAATGACTCACGCACAAACTCCTGCTGAGTCTCTGCCAACTGCTGCACCGACTCGGCCAGAAGCTCCAGGGAGCGCGACACGGTTTCCAGCAGCACGTTGGTGGCATGCTGCTCCTGCAGGCTCAGTGATGCATTCTGCAGCAGGCTGTCCCTCGGGTTCTGACCCTGTACAAGTGTGGGGGCTGAATCGGACTCTGTGAAGGACGTCTGAGGCTGTCCCTGTCTGTGGAGGCCGTTGTTAACGTGGCGATCAGCTGTTGTTTTCACTCCCTGAGTCGAAGGAAGCACATCTTCGTTTTGGTCTTCATCAGAATCTCCATATCCAGTTTCTGTATCTTCAAATAAAAAATACAATAAGCATTATAGACCGTTTTAAATCAACACAGGCGAAGAGAATCTGACGATATAACCCTGGAAACAATACACAGCTCCTCTGTATTAAAACAAACATTTTACATCTTTTATTTGCCTTTTTTAATTAAAAAGCAAAACTGTAGCTTCTACTGCTGCCCAAATATCACATTTAATAATTATTATGTTACACATACCAAAAACATGCATGTTAGGCTGATTGGTAACTCTGAATTGTCCCTAGGTGAGTGAGAGTTTGTCTCATTTGTCTCCATGTGTCTGTGATAGATTGGAGACCTGTCCAGAAATGGGCACCAGTGAGCCCCCATGACCCAGAAAATATAAAGCAGGTAAAGTCAATGGATAAATATACTAGTATAGGGCTATTCAATGGCGGCTCACAGGCCAGCAGTATATTAATTAATATGGTTTTAATTTAAATTTTTAAACACAAAATAAAATAAAATGGGGAGACTCAGAGAACACAAATATGACTCATACAACTCAGGACAGATTTTAAACCAGATTCAGATTACATTTGTTATTTATAAAATTATAACAATGGTATATAAAAATCAAGCTTAGATATATAATTTATCCACCCATCGTCTTTATCCACTTTCCCATTCAGGATCACAGAGAGCTGGTGTCCATATCCAGCAGTCACTGTGCGAGAGACAGGGGACACACTGGACAGGTCTCCAGTCCACCACAGGGAAATCTGGACAGGTCTCCAGTCCACCGCAGGGACACAGAAACAAAGGACCATTCACAGCCACACCTATGGACAGTTTATAGTAGTTCTATTTATTTGAATCACAAGTAATAAGGTAATTTTAACTTGAACATTAAGAGTCATCAGGTTGTTTTAAAATGCCAATTTCTTTTAAACAGACTGTAGAGGTCATTATGAGAAGCTTGTTTAATGACACTGTTTATATAAACATGTGCCAGCTGTTGTCAGGTACCTAAAAAACAAGGTGTGTTTTTAAGAGCTGTTACGTGTTGACTTCCAGTATAAGTTATAATAACAAGAGGCATATTAAGAGTAAATTAGCACACCAGACCAATTTATTTAGATTCATAAAGTAACTGTGTCTATACTTTTTTTTGGTAAAAGAATGTTGAGCCTGACAAATTCATGTCAGTAATTATAATTTGGGTTATTAGCCTCCATATCGAGCCTGCAGAAAGCTGTAGATTTTACCTGCTAACATGCTAACTATTGTTTAGTGGAAAACAGAGTTACTTTGAAAGGAGAGACAAGTGTTGCTCCTCTGACTGATTGTTACTGGCTGATGATAATAATTAAAAAAAACCTACCAAGAAAGTCAGCTTAAATTTTTTGGATAATCCCCACCCTTCGATTACTGAATACAACTGAATATCAGTAACAGGGATCCTGTCTCTGTACCTCAATGTTTAAAGCAGGGGGATATCAGACAAATGTAGTGGTTTTACAACCAGGACTTTTCAACACGGCAGCACGGTGGCGCAACTGGTAGAGCTGCTGCCTCTCAGCGAGCAGGTCCCTGGTTCAAATCCCGGTCCGGTGGTCCACCCTTTCTGGGTGGAGTTTGCATGTTCTCTCCGTGCATGCGTGGGTTTTCTCTGGGTACTCCGGTTTCCTCCCACAGACCAAAAACATGCATGTTAGGCTGATTGGTAACTCTAAATTGTCCCTAGGTGTGAGTGAGAGAGTGAACGGTTGTTTGTCTCGTTTGTCTGTCTCTATGTGGCCCTGTGATGGACTTGCGACCTGTCCAGGGTGTACCCCGCCCCTCGCACAGTGATTGCTGGACATGGGCACCGGCAACCCCCGTGACCCAAAATGGAATAAACGGGTAAAGAAAATGAATGGATGGATGGACTTTTCAACACTGTAGAATAGCTTAAAACCAGTAAGTGACCAGAGCAGATTTATTTTTGAACTGTTTCTGAATATCACCTTCTGTTGGAGGAACTTCATACTGCACATCAAACGCTGCCTGTGATGAATCCCCTGAAACACGTAAATGCAATTTAATTTCAGATGTTTCATAGGTCATATGAATAAAGACGCAGCTCTTTTACAGAAAAGTGACATTTACTTGCTGCAAGTCACATCTTTCTTGTATATTTCACAGTTACCTGAATGTGTTTGTCCGCTCACGCTGTAGGAAGGCGGCGGTGGCATGGACACCATGCTCACACCTCCATTGGGAGAACTGTGCATTCGAATCATGTCCTCTTCGTCCATTTCCTCGTCCTCGTCTGGAACGTCGTCATCATCTCCCAGTGGACCAAAGTCACAGATGCTCTGGTTGTCATCATCCATCTCCAGAATCTGGAGCACGATTTTCTCTGTCTGACTAAGGTCTCGGGAAAGGCGAGAGTTCAGTCCTCTGTTGGGCACTGTCCCTGACCGCATGGCGGCCACCTTCCGCTTAGTGTCACATTTCAGATCAGACCATTTCTTGATTACCTCCATGGCTTCACGTTGGCACTCTCCAATCTCATTGACCCGTGCAGTGATCTCTGCCCAAATTCGTTTCTTTGTGTCTGTTGGGACGCCACGATTGAATTTACCTTAAAGAACGAACAGCAAAACAATCTGTTTATGATTCAGGGCAACTTATTGGGATAATACACATCAAACCTGAAAGGTAAAATCTCACCGGACTGCAACGAGCTGGCAACAGAATGTTTCACAACATTTGTGACGGCTCTCAGAGTTCTTGTTCCATTCTCAGAGGCTCGCAGTACTGCGATAAATTTTCTTTCAAAACAAAGAATCAGCACGAATGCCTTAAATTTGTCGCAAAAGGGACAGAAAACATGTTAAGGTCTAAAAAAAACCCACAATGATAAATAAGAAATCATTAAAAATTGATATAAACCTGCAAATATTTATATCTAAAATATATTCCAGTAGACGAACATGGGGGTGTCTACCAAGGTGAGTACCATGTGGATGGAGGTATTGGCATATGAATTAAGTTTTACAAGCTGTGCACACTAAAACAAACTGATTTTATAAAACTGGCCCGCTCCAATACAACTCACTGGTCACACACTCAGAATTTAGTTATTCACAACAAAAAATTGGTGCATCTTCCAGCATTTTGAACATATTGTTGGAGTCTCACTGATTTCTGAGGGAGCTGTAGAGCCACATTTTGATTGGTTGATTTTTTAAAATTATGACCTAATTTTGTGTGAATGGCTTGCAATTATATTTTAGACTGTGCACGTCATTTTGTTGTCCACCTTTGCACAAATCATGCAAACCTTAGCTCGCTTTGTACCCACCTTGGCAGATGCTGCCACATTTATGACTTTGTCTACAGGACTCTTGAGAAATGAAGAAAGGCAGATTTAGATGGGGTTTTTCCATATATATTTTTTTATTTTTTCCAGTTTTTTTGTTGCTGAAACAGTTTTAAGACCTGGACATGGTTTCTGTCAGAGCAGAGCTCCCCTAAAAGTGTCAAAACATGCTCTAGTGCTCATGGGATGGGATGGAAATGCCCATGACAAAAGTTTAGATGGGTCTGAAACGGACTCATCCGAGAATAAATCAGTAACATCACATTCATATGAAAACTCAAGTGACAGAACTGCGAACCTCTGCAACTCAAGAAACAAAACTGATAATCACCACAAGACATTCTGGACACTTGGAATATTTTTGCTCATAGAAGCTGTTAGCAGCCCAGTCTAGTATGGGTACTAAAAGTCCTGATATACAAACACATACCCACAACAACCATACGGTTCTTCCTGACTTCATCCAACAGGACGTGGACTTCACTGAAGGAGAAACGAGCTTTTCTTTTCTTGAAGCGGGTCGCACTGTCTTGGTTGTAGAATAATGACATAGTTGAAGACATTCTCCACACCCAGCCTCAACAAAGTTCTGCTGTTTGATCTGCACAGCCTCCCTTCACCTGTTGGGGGGTCTACACACTGACAGCAAAGTGAACAATGGTAAATGTCCTTGTTTGCCTCTTATTTGTGGTTTATTAACAAAACTTTGTCTGATTTGTAAACTGAAACTTGTCTGCTGACAAGGTGAAAGTCAGAAACGTCCAGTGATGCGTTCAGGGTCGATATGCTTATTTGGTTCTGATTAGTGAGATGGTCAACTCACTAAATGAAGAATCTCTAAACTTATGAGTGTATTAATTGAGTAATGTTTAATAAACCTTAGTAACAATAGTGTGATGGCAGTCGGCTAACAATGGATCTGTTGTCATTGCACGCATGGATCAGCTACATATATGATACAGACCTGTCGCTGCTTCGTTACAGAAAACCTCCCCAGCTGCACACTCTTGGTGATCTGAACAAGTCTGCGGTTTAATCTGTCCCTTCAGATCTTTCGTTTTCTGCTGCACAACAAAACACGCATGACGAGGCTAGTTTCCTGTAACATGGCTACGGATTAGCTTTAGCTTAGTTCAGTAATGGTTAATGCACTTCAAACACAGCTAGACTTCAAAAAAGTGCACGCTACGGATAAATTTAACCCGTGAGACAGAGTATACCCTTACGATCAAGAAGATACAATTTTATCCAGAAACGTTTGGGGAAAACGTCCTTCTCTACATATCCGTCAAGCTAACAGGGTTGTCGCTAACGTAGTAAAATCCATTCCGGTTAGAATTAGCGATGCTTATGTAACAAATTCAAGCTCATCCTTATTTCGATAGTACAGGACTACATCCGCATTTAGTGTTAGTTTCACAAATAGCGCGTGACAACTGTTACTCTAGCTTGTTACTTTTCAAAGAAATGTTACATCATTTAACTCATAAATTCTTTCAGTTTTGAACCATTTTATTTTGAAGGGACAGCTTCCGGTGTAGGCTTAACCCGGGTTAAAGGGCCATTTCTGTAACGCCTGGATAACTAGCATTAATTTTTTTTAGAAAGTACGGAGATAAGTACAAAAATCTCATTTTCCCTCATTCGCTTATATATATATATACAGGTCCTTCTAAAAAAATTAGCATATCGTGATAAAGGTCGTTATTTTCCATAATGCAATGATAAAGATGAAACTCATATATTTCAGATTCATTGCACACCAACTGAAATATTTCAGGTCTTTGTTTTAATACTGATGATTATGGCATACAGCTCATGAAAACCCAAAATGCCTGTCCCAAAAAATTAGCATATTTCATCCCACCAATGAAAGACAAGTGTTTTTAATACAAAAAAAGGTCTGGAATCGGCCCTTCTCCACAATCCTCCTCAGGGTCCGGTCACCTCTTCTCGTTGTGCAGCGTTTTCTGCCACACTTTTCCCTTCCCACAGACTTCCCACTGAGGTGCCTTGATACAGCACTCGGGGAACAGCCTATTCGTTCAGCAATTTCTTTCTGTGTCTTACCATCTTGCTTGAGGGTGTCAATGATGGCCTCCTGGACAGCAGTCAGGTCGGCAGTCTTACCCATGATTGCGGTTTTGAGTAATGAACAAGGCTGGGAGTTTTTAAAAGCCTCAGGAATCTTTTGCAGGTGTTTAGAGTTACGTCGTTGATTCAGATGGTTAGGTTAATAGCTTGTTTAGAGAACCTTTTCATGATATGCTAATTTTTTGGGACAGGCATTTTGGATTTTCATGAGCTGTATGCCATAATCATCAGTATTAAAACAATTAAAGACCTGAAATATTTCAGTTGGTGTGCAAAGAATCTGAAATATATGAGTTTCATTTTTATCATTACATTATGGAAAATAATGACCTTTATCACAATATGCAAATTGTTTGAGAAGGACCTGTAATATATATATATATATATATATATATATATATATATGCATTTTTTTCCCCCACTTTAAAGTGTTTTCAAATGCTGATACTACAAAACATTTATTCAGTGTGAAAAATCAACTCACTTGTTAATGCGTTAAGAATAAAACATCCAATAAATCAGTTTTATTTCAAATATGGCACAGGCATTTATCAAGCATAAGCACTTTAGAGTAACAGTTTAATGGCTAAAACAGTAACTACTTATAAAACTTTAAAATCCCATTTCCCTCCCAGTGGCTACATGCATTAGTGGAATTCACATCAATACATCTTAATAATCCACACACTGTGCTGACTGAACCTGGTATCAACAACTTGTTGAAGGTTTTCAGTGACAGGAAGCTGAGAGAAAATAAAACTGTGAATTGCTCTAAAAAGTACGATAATCTCCATAATCATAGCCTTTTGTTTCACACATGGATGTGCTGAACGTAAACATGAACAAAATATGATATTAGCCTACCTTAAACACTTAGATTTATAGTGTTAGTGCAGAATACGTACCTAACAGCAGTGGATTTCAAACAGATTGAACAGGACCTGGCTAAATCTTTATGGTGTCCACCACCAGTGGTGTAATCTACACGATACGCGGACATACGGAGTATACCCACTAGAAAAGCTTAAGAATTTCAGTATAACCATTTCAAAGTGCCCACTGATACGACATATCATTAGGCACGTGTCATTGATACGGTAAACGGCAGTTAAACTTTTCCGTAACAATCTATCGCTATACAGCACTTGTTTATTACATTCGCTTATCCAGCAAATTATTGTATAATTAATACGTCTGTACTTACTACTTAATACTTAAACATGTTTTGCTTTGAAAGTGTTTTATAAATTCTATTACGTTTTTATTACAAAGCCAACTGTTACACAAAGTTTGTGGTTCATTTATTCAAATATAAGCATTAGATAAATTTGGAAATGTTCAATATGCTTAAAATGCAAAATAATTGACGATTACATTGTACTAACTAGTGTATTTTGGTTTCTAAGCACAGTATATGGACAGACCGTGGTAAAGTTAGTTTTACGTTGGACGTTGGGACATTCGCGCTCCGTGGCTTCAGCAGTGTCTAAAGTAAAACTAATTTTACCGCGATATACCCACTACAAAAATGTAGACTACACCACTGTCCACCACTTCTGCCTAATTCTTAGAGCCTTTACAAAATACTGTATACTTGTGTTCATGTGAGCAAAAACTCAGAGGCTGCAGTTGGAAGAGCTGCTCAGTGTGAGGCTGAATTGAGTGTTTCTGAGAATTCACTGGGTGAAAAAATTCAAAGAAATATACAACTCCCACACTCAGGTACCTTGAATACGCCCAGAGCTCAGACTACTCTAAATGGGTGGGAAAAACTTGTGAGACCAGCAAGAACAGCCTGCCTGCATCGTGTAGTGGCTGAAATTTCTATGGACGGGTGAATGTCGTCTCAAAGCTCAGATGTGCCCTGGTTAGAGCAGGATGTTTGTGAAATGAGCCCCCGCACCAGAGCAGCGCTGCTTCGAGCTTTCCCCTCATTCATAAAGTGAAGACATTTTGATGTTTCACTTCAGGGCAAATACCAAAGCATGCCTCATTCATGTGGGTTACAGTCCTGTTCAGACTTAGCTGGGCCTCATGCTGGCTGGAGGTTTCTGATTTGATACCACTGTAAATCCATCCATCCATCCATCCATCCATTTTCTTTACCCGCTTATTCCATTTTGGGTCACGGGGGTCGCTGGTGCCCATGTCCAGCAATCACTGTGCGAGGGGCGGGGTACACCCTGGACGGGTCGCAAGTCCATCACAGGGCCACAGAGACAAACGAGACAAACAACCATTCACTCTCTCACTCACACCTAGGGTCAATTTAGAGTTACCAATCAGCCTAACCTGCATGTTTTTGGTCTGTGGGAAGAAACCGGAGTACCCGGAGAAAACCCACCATGCACGGAGAGAACATGCAAACTCCACCCAGAAAGGCCCCTGGACCGGGGTTTGAACCAGGGACCTGCTCGCTGAGAGGCAGCAGCTCTACCAGTTGCGCCACCGTGCTGCCCCCACTGTAAATCATAACTTTTAAAATAAACCTATATGTTTAAGCTCCAGGGACTGATAAAAGTATTTGGGGTTGTGTGGATAGATAAAGTGGCTTCAAAGACCAAGCAGGGGGAAGGGGCCAGGGATCCCCACCAGGACTCAGGAGTACATGGTCAGCTGAAGCCACTGATAAGAGAAAAGAAGAGAGGATGACTTCATGACCAAAGAGAAAATACATCATTGTGAAAATCCTTGAATTTCTTTACCTCTTGAACATTGACTTTGATAGTTCCGTTGTTGTCCTTGTCCAGGGTCTTGAAGGCACCTGGATTAGATCGGATCAGAAACCTTTGACAGTCTTTTCTTTGAAAAGCCTTGGAACAACGAGAACTAGCTGAGGGGTGAAACTTACGACACATGGCATCGAGCCTGACAAGGCAGCCGATGTAGTTATCAAAATCCATGTTGCCATTTTCATCACTGTATCTGCGGATGATCATCTGGAAGAGCTGGTCATTGAGGGGGAACCCTGCAGATCAGAAGAACAGAAGAAACAATTGTTACCAGGAAGCAGGACGTCCACCAGGATGGCACACCCTTTGAAATATATTCAAACAGGCACAAGATAAAATGTCAGGAGGTACAGAGACAAGTTGGGTCTACATAAAACAGTCAAGTGCTTTATGCTTAGGAAATCATGCACTGCTACTTACAATAACCTGACTGTACCTGAAGGCTTCCCTTGTGCCTGTCTAAGTCTGAACATAGCAGATGAATAAAGCCTTACCGGCTTTTCCAAAAGCGTTCGGCAGCTCATATGCACTGATGAAGCCAGAGTGATCGCTGTCACAAGCCTTGTACACACCCTAAACAGTAAACAATACAAATATTTAAAGCAGTTACGCCATCTCAGTTTCCTGGTAAGATGATTCAGAATGTAGAAAAAGCAGTACAAATAAACCTACTGTAGTGGCGACTTTAACCCAAATACCGAAAACGGAGACATATTTTAGAGTTCAATACTTCTTTTATTTAGAAAATTATTTTGCAAATTTCAAGCCAGACAAGTCCTTCAATAAACACAGCAGATAGTCACATTGGAAAACACTGAAATGAGCAGACATTAATTATGATTTTTGTTTAATGACCACGAGAGCAAAACTTTGTGAACCACGAAAGGAGATAACAAAATGAAAAAGGACTACTGGACCTACCTGCCATTTTTTTATATTGTTCCAGAGTAGTTTAAATTCATGGAAGCCCAGTTTCCCCGTGCAGTCCGACTGAAACACGATTAAGGACAACAAGCAACCTGACTGTCTCCAGTTTTTAACCATTGCACTACTTGGAGACAATTTTTTTACAACCCAATTTATTCATGTGACACAGAGCCCACAATATGTTTGCACAAACATGATTACACAAAATGTAAATACCATAATTTCCGGTCTATAAGCAGCTACTTTTACCCCGCACGCTTTGAACCCCGCGGCTTGCACAATGCTGTGGCTAATTTATGGATATTTACTCTTTTTTTTGACGAGCTAACGAGCTTACTGCCGCCAAAACATTTAGCTTTGTCACACCCAGGTGCTCACATAGCTGCCCAGTACATGTCTCTCTTGGGAAGTGGGTCCTTGTGACTCAATGAGACTACCTGCATAAATAAAGGTAAAAAAAAAAATAAAAAAATAAAAAATCTGACCAGTAAAATTACTGGAGGTAACAGTAGAGGTAACACTGAGGAATGTGTGTGTATGTGTGTGTGTGTGTGTGTGTGTGTGGGGGGGGGGCACGTTCTCTCCTCCCATCCCCATTGTGCCCTCAGGAAGGGGGGAAGTTCCCCCTCCCTGAGGGCACAACAATGTATTTGCAGCCATTCGACATCAGGGAGAACAAGTATTTGATACACTGTTGATTTTTCAGGTTTTCCCACTTGCAAAGCTTGTAGATGACTGTAATTTTTATCATAGGTACTCTTCAACTGTGAGTGATGGAATCTAAAACAAAAACCCAGAAAAATACAATGTACGATTTTTAAATAATTAATTTCCATTTTATTGTGTGAAATAAGTATTTGATCATCTATCAACCAGTAAGAATTTTGGCTCTCACAGACATGTTAGTTCTTCTTTAAGAAGCCCTCCTGTTCTCCAC